TGATCAGCTCGTCGCAAGGCCTCTACCTGTACACAAACACAGAAAAACGCGCACACACAAACTAAACATACATGCCCTGAGTGGGATTCGAACCCACGATCCCGGTTTCCAAGCGAGCGAAGACAGTACATGCCTTAGACCTCTCGACTACAGTGACCGGCTTAGGCGTTCTTTACGAAGCTAAAATAAAGAGCTTATGTGACATTCATACCTCCCCACGTGTCTGTCATCTAATGCAAGTGCCTCAACCGCTGGATATACAAGTATTTCCATAAAATTGAATACTAGCAACCTAATGTCTTAGATGACTACTTATCAGTAACTTATTAATTAACGAGCTCGCTGGTGGTATAATCCCAAGGTTCGACATCCCTAATGCCACAGCACACCATTGGATATGATTATGAGCCAGTTTCGTCCACCTCTGATCCTCACAACTCTTATATCCCACGTTTGTCTTAATGTTGTCTATTGTCTGTCCGAATGACCGGTTTCGCCATCAATTAATTACGCATTTTTGCCTTCCCATCTGAGCTCCTGGTCCTGCTGATCTGAAGGGAGGGAGATCAAGCCTAATATCCTAAATTTTATACTTGCTTCCTTCGTCGTATTAATAGGTTTAAATAGAGCTCTCCGTTTCCAAACATTGCAATTCATTTTCACCCCTCAAAGGAGCTGAACCAGATTCCACATGCAAAAGAACTGGCTAATTTATTGGTTTCCTACACCTCGATTTTCCGTTAAATATTATCCTTTGAAATTTTCTTTTACATGTACAGAAATTGGCTACGTTTTGTTTCGTTCTCGTGTTTTCGGTGGAAAAGAGTTAATTTGTATTATTCGCTAAATAGATTGGCTCATAAAGAAATCCTTCAAACGGTTGTTTTCCTGTTAAAATTGGAATTGGAAATGTTGCATCATTCCTTCCTGTAGCACAGAATGATGTTAATACAGTATTTTAGTCTTTACGTACCAGGAAATACACCCCGGGCATAAAGTTGCCTCTGTCTCATGACCATATTTGAGGGGGGGAATGGGGAGGGGGATCATTTGGCTTCCAAAGTCTGAGTCTGCTGGTATGAGGAAGGGGAACTGCTGATATTATTAAAAAGTCATCGTCGATTGCAGTTTTTTATAATATCTTTCCTTTATATCTCGTGATTTTTATAGGACGTTAATAAAACAGAGAGAGATAGGCTTCCGTAAAGGGCTTATTACGTGTATCGTAGCTGATTAATCAGAATGGTAACCGGAGTAAAAAGTTTTTACTCATGTATATTATGTTTGATTTCTGCTTTTGCAAATCCCGTTTTCACGTGGTCAATAGCAAGCATTGAATGAAGAGGTTTTTTAATATCTCTTGTATTTGTACGTCTTGAAAGCAAATAACATTATTGCGACAAGTTGTTTTCGAGTTTGCTACTGCCTCGCTGTATCCTGCTGCGGAACCGGTCTGCAAATCGCACTGGAACGGAGCGATTCTGGGATTAGAGACCTAGTAAACATTGGGAATGTATATGAACAAGGGTGTATGCATGTCTCCATTCATCCAGAATGTATTGCCTCTCTCGTCTGTTTCATAAAATATTTAAAATATTTTACTCGTTATCTTTTGTGCGTGTGAAACGTCGTCCGTCTGTCACTGTAAGGGAAGAACATGCATTGAGGATGCTTGAGGATAGGGTACTGAGGAAAATTCTTGGTCTAAAAGAGAGAAAGCAGCAAGAGAATGCAGACAGTTACATAAAGAGGAAGTTCATAACTTATATTCTTTATCGTTAAGATGGTGGAATTTGGTAAGTTGACAATATTTCGATTTCCCCATTTTCTTCAAAGAAGCCTAAATATTGAGTGTGATGCATATGGGGGTTAAACTTCCTCCTTCATTTTGAAGGAATGCTAAGGACTGGAAAGTCTGAGAAGAAAGTGATGAAGAGAATATTTCCATCTAATAAAAATTAATTAGAAAGAAAATAGAGAAAATTACATATTTTCACGTAATTTTCCGTTACGAAGTTCGTAGTTTTTCATTTCGTCACATTTCTTCTTTTACGGGACCCAAAGCTCGTCACCATATTTGCAAAATCCCATCGTCGGACTCCCACATCACTCATTTGAGTCCAGTTCATATCCTCACAATTTATTTCTCAAAATATATTTTATTATCATCCTTGTATCTAGGTCCGAGGGCCGTCTTTCAGTTGTTCACATCGAAATTTTGCTTGAGTTCTGATTTTCCCCTTCCGTAATGCGTGGACCTAAGAGAGGGTATGCCGATCACGGTAGCCGAGCGGTCTAAGGCATGCACTGTCTTCGCTCGCTCGGAAGCCGGGATCGTGGTTTCGAATCCCACTGAGGGCATGGATGTTTAGTGTGTGTGTGCGTTTTCCTGTGTTTCTCTACAGGAAGAGGCCTTGCGACGAGCTGATCACTCGCCCAAGGAGTCCTACCGTATGTGTAAGATCTAGAAAAACCGAAGTGAACGGAGTTCATGGAGGTAGGCCTAGGCCCACTGGGGCTGTAGTGCAGAGATAAAAAGAGAGAGGGTATAGCGATATCACATAACGAAAAACTACGGTTTGTACACTTTACATGGTATTGATAGGCCAATTAAAACTGGCTCCGTTTGTTTTGACCAGAAATGTATATTTGTATAACCCCAGTTCCACATTCTAACCTCTTTCACGCATGCTGAATTCTTTTTGCAGGCAGACGAGCCGAGTGATGATCCCTCTCACATGGATGAGTATATAACTACTACCACCTTCGAGGAAGGCTTTAAGGGTGAGTAACGGCCCCTTGCACAGTAGGCCTCTTGTCTTATATCAGTATGAAACAGTAATACATAATACTTTTGCTTGTATGCATGCGTGAGTACCTACACTGTGTACCCTCTTTATGTATGCATATACATTTAGATTGCGCATGCGTGCAGGGTGCAGTGCTTCGGAAATGCACTCGCCATGAGAGAGTTCATGGATATCGCACGGTGGTGAGGACGTGGTTAGGCTGTGTGAATATATTAAAATTTTAATAACGAAACGGTGTATTATAATGAGAAAGGAAATTTAAAAACATATTATCCTACTTCTCGCCCGTCAGTATGAATATTTAACAATGATCTTTTAATCGCCGATCACAGTGGCCGCGCGGTCTAAGGCATGAACTGTCTTCGTCTGCTCGAACACTGGGTTCGTGGGTTCGAATCCCACTCCAGGCATGGATGTCTGTGTGCGTTTGTTCTGCATTTGTGCTGCTGTGTGTGTAGGTAGCGGCCTTGTGACCGGCTGATCCCCCGTCCAAGGAGTCTTACCAAATATTTATAGAATTACGAAACTGAAAAAGCCAACCAGGACCCAACAAAGGGCTGTAAAGCCATTGATGAATTAATGAATTATCTTTTAAACTCCTCATAAATTATAGGCGAGTGGGTTAATTAAATAGGTAGTAAATTTAAGTTACTTTTCCACAACACTGGTACATGAGTGAGAGGGGTGATAATAGGCATGTGCCTAAAATAAATTGCTATGGGCTAGAAGACTGGGGTTTGATTTCCAGCAGAGACAGAATTTTCTTCTTTGCCGCAGCGTCCATTCCAGCTCTGAGGTGCACCCAATTCCTACCCAGCAAGAACTGTTGAGGAATTTCCTCTCAGATAAAGTGGCCGGAGCGTATAGGTGACGTCTCCATATAATTCCAAGGTTAAGAATTCACGAAACTTTAATACACATATTTTTGTGGATTAAATTTTGTTTCGTACCTTAACACACTTTAATTTACTACCAATTTATTTAATCGTCATTATTAATAAATACGCCTGCTGAAGTCGCCTGTGAACTACTAAGCAACTCTGCAAATTGCGTGTATGTAGTAGCTGTGTAAGGAGTACAGATGTTTTCTTTCGCGTTAGCTTCGTCCTGACTGGAGACTTCTCGTAAAATGACAAATTGTTAAATTCATAATTATCTTGTGGTGCCGGGGTCTTGCGGGATTTCATAAGGAAGGGAGCCCACACGCTTATATATGTAGTATAATCTGCTGCGTACTTGGGAGAAGGGTTCCATCCCTTCTACCCTTCCTCTTGCATTCCAGGCTACTTTCCTTTCACCTCTAATTAACTTAAAGTATTTGAACAATGTTTTAACTCATTTTAACCAGGTTATAAGTAATTACACTAATGCCATCTAATTAGATTCTCCAGTTGTAATTTTGGACTCCCAAAGAATCAATTTTTTTATCCTTATCCTGTAGGCCTATTACATACTAACCCAATTGTACGTATATCTCGCTTTAATTGAAACCCCAATTTTTAATGTAGTCTTCTTCTGTAGATATCTGTGTGGAGGTGACGTAATGCTTAAAAACCAAGTGCCTCAGCACGCTGAGGTTCGTTAGCTTATTCTGAAAGGTTCTGAAAAGTCAGTTGTGCCCATTTCATGCCGTCAGGTGCCGTTATGAGCCATTTTAACATTTTACTGCAACCGAAGCCTAGATCAAGCAAGCAGTCACTTTCCTCGTAGCTTTTCGTTTAACCTCATTCGTGCCAAATATGCTGCCAACTGAAGCATCGGGATTTGTCCTCTTAGAGCACAAGCGTTGCTGTATGCACCACCAGATTTAACAAAGAAAGCTCCTCATTTTCCCTACAGAATGCATTCATGGGTTTCATAAAAGGTGAAAACGTAAAGTTACCCCTGTAACACGCCGTGGGAGCGCATAAGGTTGTCAGACGTCGAGGCACCCACATTTTCTAGACAGTCCTATCACAGATGACGGNTGTAACACGCCGTGGGAGCGCATAAGGTTGTCAGACGTCGAGGCACCCACATTTTCTAGACAGTCCTATCACAGATGACGGTGAGGTTTTCAGCGTTACGCGCCGGCCGCCCTTTACCCCACAGGAATATTCCTGGTACTCATTTCTGTTGGGCTGAGTCGACACCAGGGCCATAGTGCAGCTGGAAGGATGAAGTAAATTGAAAAATCAAATAATCTCATTGGGAATCGAATCTGCGACCTTTCGGCTTGTAACATAGTGCCCCAAACAACTACGCTACCTTGTCCTCCCACCAAATCTCATATAGGAAGGGAAATCAGGCCTGGGCCTTTTTATATTATATATTCAGCTATTTTACTGATTCCCTGGTAGGGAGCCAGGCATAATTGCTTGAAAGACCGAGACTCAGATTGGGGTTCATGACAGTATCTTACTGTCTCAGATTCGAGACTCCCCCAGCCTGGAGGGCCAGGTGTCCGTATTTATATCCCCCGAGAATATGGTGGTCCAGTTATACCCCGTGGCACTGGGTTCGCTTTTCTTCGCCTCCTACGACTCGCAGGGCTACGGTGGAGGTATTCGAACCCGCCTTCAGACAGGTTTACTGAGATTCGAGACTAGATGGACTCATTATAGATATAATCTTCACACGGACCGCATAGAGAACAGCGCTTTCAAGAATAGTTTTGTTGCGCGTTTATCAATTGCCGCGGATACTTGTTTATCGAGCCGTTATCTATGCTACAAGCCGGAAGGTCGCGAGTTCGAGTCCCGATTTGGTGGATTTTTTCAATTTACTTAATCCTTCCAGCCGCACTATGGCCCTGGGGTCGACTCAGCCTCTAACAGAATTGAGTACCAGGAATCTTCGTGTAGCTAAAGGGCGGCCGCCGCGTAGGGCTGACAACCTTACCGCCATCTGTAGACGGTTGTCTAGAAAATATGGAAGCCTCGACGTCTCACATCGCTATGGGGCTCCACGGCCTGTTACAGGGATAGCTTTACCTTTTTTATCTAGCAACTGACGGCTTCTCTTGTTAAACTATTCCGTTGTAGTGTCACAATATCATAATTACACTGCACATTTAATCATAAGTTGTGATCTTTTATGGACACTGAGGTGTACCTTTATTTGTCGCCAAAGTGTGAATCCGTAGCGATGTGAGCAACTGGCCATGTAGAAGCGCAATGTGGAATTGGTTTGTGAACTGCAGTGATATGATTTCTGTGTGCCGCCATGTGGTTTTGTACAGAGATACCAACGTTTTGGGGGACCCGCCTCCTAGTTTTTCGGAGCGGAAGAGTCTTCTATCAGTAAGAGAAATGAGTTAAGAGAGAATTGGCCACCAGTACCCGTTAAGTTATTGATAAATAAGAAACGATTGAAGTTCATAGATTGTCACGTAAGCCACTCTTTCCATGATGTTCTGAGATGTCATCAAGCATGGGAAAGGGTAGGTGGGGCTTCACAAATGACGTAAAGCATTAATGAGTTCTGTGATTGGCTACCGAGAATATGTGTATGTAATTTAACTTTGCGTGTCATAAAACATGTCGGGATTTCGTGATCACAAAGAGAGGACAATGATTAGTGGTGAAAAGGTGGAGCGCACGCACACACACACACGTAGGCTACACATCATAAACTGCATAACATGTCTGCTGTGTTACCTTAACATGCAGATTTTTCTGTCCCTATTTCTGATTTCATGTTAATACTGGAATATCTTTGTCAAAGTGTGTATGAATCAAGAAATTGAAATCAAACACCTAGAAGGTACAAGTCGGAAGATCGCGGGTTCAAATACCGATGAGGTCATTGGAGTTTTTTTCAGTTGACCTAATCCTTCTGGCCGCACTATGGCCCTGAGGTTCACTCAGCCTCTAACAGAAATGAGTACCAGGAATTAATTAAATACCGTATTTACGCATGTATAGGCCGCACATTTTTTACCAAAAATTCAAGAGGAAAACCGGGGTGCGGCTTATATTCGAAATATTCGAAATCACACTTCATTTAAAAAAAATTATATTCATAATTAGTAATACAGGGTGTAATACTCCTGAAATAATATTCCAAGAAAATTATTTTTTCTATAATTTCTGTCTGAAAATTGTGCTGCGGCCTATACACGCACGCGGCCTATACATGCGTAAATACGGTAATTATCCTAGGGAGTAAAGCGCGGCCGGCGCCTAAGGCTGACAACCTCACCGCCATCTTTGAGCCGATTGTCTAGAAAATGTGGGATCCTCGACGTCTCACAACCCTATGGGCCTTCATGGCCTGGTACAGGGACAGCTTTACTTTTTACTTACTTACTGGAATATCTTTGAAAGGAACAAACGACGAAAGAAGAAATACTATTTTTTACTCATCCTGACGGATTTGGTAATTTATTGTTTTGCCTGCCTCAGGACCTCATTTTGTGCCACCTTGAGGCATCTGTCCTCATCCATCTGCGAGATATGCGGTTCTTACGGCGGTGACTATGAAGATTGCCGTTTTCCTATATATGACGTCGTGTAGTCTGGTAAATCTTTACCTTCACTCGCAGATACGCCCTTCTACCCCGAAGATGGAGGCAGCTTGTCTTGGAAATATCTGTAAACCGCAGCCTAGACCGTGATTTTCACCCCTTCTGTTTTCATGTTTTCCATCTCTTCCTGGGTTACGCGGTACCATAGTTGGCTGAGGCACTATGCTACAAGCTGGAAGGTCGCAGGTTCGATTCCCGATGAGGGCATTGGATTTATAAATTGGCCTAATCATTCCAGCCACACTATGGCCCTGGGGTCGACTCAGCCTCTAACAGAAATCAGTACCAGGAGTCTTCCTGGGAGGTAAAGGCTGACCGGCTTGTAAGGCTGACAACCTCACCGCCATCTATGAGCCGATTGTCTAGAAAATGTAGGAGCCTCGACATCTCACAACCATATGGACCTCCACGGTCTGTTTTTAGCGTTTTACCTTACCTTTACCATCTCTTCGTAAATGAATTAATCT